CAGTCACTGTTTGCGTCGCTGCAGGCTGGGGTGTCAGCGCAGTCAGAGGTATGCAGGCTTCGGCCCCTCCCCCCTGGGAACCTGACTCTGCGTGGCCGCAGAGAAGGAGGGGGGGTGGAGTCAGGGCTGACATCATCCCGGGTGGGGGGCGTGGTTAGCTGTTTCTCACGCCTTAGGGTGGAGAGGGAGCTCTCGGCTCCATCTTGTGAGCTCGGTGGGCGGGGTTTGTTAGTTTTTGCGGGCTTTTTGAACGGAAGAGAAGGGCTTCCCCTGCCATGTTCGGCGTGTTTCTGTTTTTTCAAATGGGGAAGTATCAAGCGCCAGGACATGAGCGAGAGACCTGCAGCTTTATCGCCCTGTTCGAAGGCGTGTGCCAGCGTCTCTCCCAGCTGATACCAGCGGCAGTATGTTAGTAATTCTGTGGAGATTAGTTTGTTTTTGGAGAGCCATTTCACTAAAGCTTTGAGGGATTTTTTATCTAACGGAAGTCCCTCGAATGTCATTAGAGCTTTAATGCGTTCGTAAAACTGCTTCTCCGAATTAGAAAGCTTATTTCCCATAGTGTAGGGTAAAAAAGGGGTTCAGAGATCACTCACTCGAATCCTACAGCGGGGGTCCAGGCGGGGACGGCTGGATCGGGGCTGTGCTGCGTGTTCCAACGGCATGTTCGGCGGCGTGGGGGCGGCGGCAGGCAGTGGCAGGCACACCAGTCCCGCGGCGGCATGGCGGTCTTGGCGGTCCGGCGGCAGCGGCGGCTGCGGTCCTGCCGCGGCGCGTCGGTCCTGTCGGTCCCGCTGTGGCAGCGACTCACGTCCGGCAGTGGTGCCGGGGCCGCTGCGTGCGGTGGCGGCCGCTTGGATCCCGGCGAGGGGGGGTGGGCAGCGCCGGCTCCCGGTGGGGCTCCGCGGGCTGCCGTGCAGCGTTTCGGAGCGGCGGGAGCGGCAGGCGGCCGCGCGGCTTCTGGGGCTGGGGCGGCTGGGGTCGGGGGGCTCCCGCAGGGCGGCTGCGTGGGCGGCAGGGACGGCAGGTGCGCCTGGCGCTGCACTGGCCGTGCGGCTTTTCGGACCGTCCCAACACGGGGGGGTTTTGCCGTGGCAGGCGCCTGGACCGTGGGGGTAACGCTTACCCTGCGCAGCGGGTCTCTCTTCGGCGCTGCGGCTGTGCCGGGCGGGGGCGGGGGCTGCCGGTCGGATGACACCAGTGCAAGGTCCCGGTGCTGGCACGGTGCCCCCGGGTCGGTGGCGGCCGGCGGCTGGGGCTGGTCTGTTCACCGCAACGATGTCGGGACTGCACGAGGTCAGTACGGGTGCAGAGTTCGTTTCTCCGGCGCGGCAGGTGTTTCAGCGCCGGGGTGTCACGCAGCTGGTCTTGCAGCAGCAGCAGCTGAGGACTGACTGGACAGGGTCCAGGAGTTACTTAAGTGAGTGAGGTCCTTGGGACAGGTTAGAGTCCGGAAATCTAACCTATCAGAGGTTCCTGTGATCAGGGACCTTTCTAAATATAAGAAAGATGGGTTCTGGTCAAGTTGAGAGCGCCATTTATCGCGTGTGGGTTGGGGGACCCCCGCGACGGACCCTGTGGCACATTTTGTATGGGAGAAAGGACACACACGAGATGTGACCTACAAAATGGCATTTATTTGAACAAGAAGTTAGCTTATATGCAGGGGGATACAGAAATTTTGGGAATATAGGAGGGTCTCTGCTTGGAACATCAAATCCCAAGGTTTAGTGATAAGGGGACTTGAAAGGATAGACCCAGGGGATATGTTTGGCCATATATGGTGAGGGGAAAGCAAGGGAAGAAGTGGTGAGGGGCACAAACAGGGGGGTCTTCAGGGGTCTGTGAGACTGCTTCTTATTGTTGTGTTGCCCGCCACAGTAAAGGAACACAAACCAACAGAGTGTTAGTTTATGCCGGTGCTTTATTTGGGCCCGGGGACCTGGGGACTAACGTCCCAAAGTCAGAATCCCGAAAGACCCTCATTTTGAGTACAGCTTTTATATGCTCAAACAAACAAAGTCATTTGCTAAGTTACCACATCAAAGTACATACTGAAACTTAATATTTCATCCAAATCACAATTAGCTATTAGCTAGCCCACCATAAATCATCCCCAGTTTCCTAACTCTAAAACCCATTTAACTAACTCCCACAATCCAGGTGCAAGTTATCAGTAGATTAGAAAACTATGTTCTCTATGCTTCAGTTATTCTTTTGATTATTGTTTCTTCTTAGTCTTGCATGGCTAGCACATTCCAATCTTTATCAGTCCAGGATGTTACCGGTGGGGCCTCACAGGCCTAGTCTATACAGAAACCTTTAGCTAAACTACTGCTAATTCAGTAACCATTGCAACAAGTCCCCCCTTTTGAGCATTCTTCAATCTTCAATTGCAAGGATGCTCAAATTATCTAAATCGAAGTTTCGCGTTGATCAGAAGAGTCGAGCTGGTCAGAAGACTCGCCATTGGGGAGGATGACCTCTTTTCGGGTTACTGCCATGATGATTCGAGGAGTGTGCTGCCCTTCTTTTACAATCAGTCCTAGAAGACACTTATATACAATCAAAGCAATAAGAATTATAATTCCAAACATTATAACATACTGAATAATTGAGGATAGCCATCCAGAGACATTTAAACCAAGGGAGCTGAATATTTCACCAATCCAATTATGCTCTGCATCCTTTTGTAAATTTTGCACGTTTCCTTCAATTTGTTCTAACTGAGAAATATCATTTTCAACCTCATGCGTGACATTTGGAATGTGGATGCAGCAGTGTTCATCCCGTGCATGCAGGTAACCACAAACTCCATGTTCCTTTAATAGAATTAAATCTAATGCCATTCGGTTTTGTATAGTCATGCGAGTAGTTGCCTGTAATTGGATATTCATGTCTTTAAATCCCTTTTTGGTAGCCGCTGCCAATCTTTCTGTTTGACTCATCAATTTGAACAGCATCTCTCTATTACGATAAGATGCAATTGGTGCAAACAAGGGCTCTAATGCCCATCCGAATTTAACTCCAGATGATGGGTCATGCCACTCATCTGGGTTTTGCTCTAAGGCCCTTTTTCGCCTGGGTTGAATATGTGTAGTGGTCAATTCCTCTGTTTTCCAATAAGGGCATAGCGTAGGAACTCCTAAGGTGATTTGTGTCGCAGGGCCATCTACAGGCATATGAGTGGTCCATTGTCCATGTCCCATTACCCAAACTAGATTTCCTGGGCTGCTCACAGTGGTGGTAAGACAATCAACACTACGTGAGCTATTATAACCTATTATGGAGTGATTGTATCCCTGGCACTCACAACCCAATCTTAACAGAATTCATACTGGGATTAAACCTACGTCACCATTGGGAGTGTCACATGTGTAAATTCGAGTGCAATTCCATAAATCCGTAGGTGAGAGTATTTGTCGCCATTGTTTATGTTTTGAATGTAGAAAAGAGTAATTTTGGTTTTTGGAACCTACCCAATGATTGCACCATTGTACTTTCCCTAAATAACTGTAGGTTTCTAATAGACTAGGTCCCCAAATTGTTTGCCACTTTTCTAGAGTAGCAGGAGTAGTGTTATTTTGACACTTTTGTTCCAATTTTCCCTCATCCATTTGGACTTGCACCTTTACATAGGTGTCTACACTACTAATAGAGGGGGAAACTATACACTGTCCTGACAGGCCATACATACTTCCGTCTATCCACTTGAGGAATCCTGGCAACCGTTCACATTGCTCTCGGGTTTTAACACTTCCATAAAGACATCCATCTATCATTTCTGGGTGAGGTTTAGTTAAAAACTTACAACTCCACGTGGTATTAACAAATAGTCTCGGGAGTTCTGGAACTGGTATTATTCCCCATGGAATCGGGTCTCCAGCTGCGTGTGGCAGTGGAAGGCATGCAGTAATCCTAGAGACATTTTGAACCATTCCAAAATCTCTAATTAGTCCAACTATTAAATTTTCTTGCTTGGTTCCTGTATAGGAAATGTGTGGTATTCGTGGAACCTGTGATGTATAGGTCTGTCGAGTCATTCGCACAGTTTTTACATAAACAGAGGTCACTCCTGTTCCCCACCAGTCATCTTTACTTATCCAACAAATGTATTGTCCCTCATCCTGCCCTCTTTTTGTCTGTTGAATTGTGGCCCCTGCTCAATGTGATATTTAGAATCATTCTGTAAATTATAACCTTTGAACCACCAACCATAGTCCGAGAAAAGCTGTCTCTGAATTTTGCAACTCAGGGTAATATTCCCTCCTTCTGCTATGGTATAACTTTCTTGTTCTGGTTGGATTTCCTGTCCTTGATATGGCACACTTCTAACTGTCCTTATTCCATAATTTCCTTCCTCTTCACAAGAGACAACACATACAAAGGTACTTTCTGTCTCTTCTACCTCCGGACTTGAAATATTTAACCAACCTCTTCCTTTATCCTCGTCAGACCACCAACTAACTCCCTTAGTTTGCCTTTCCCACATTCCAGTTGTCATGTTTATTTTCCACCATTTAAGGTCAAGGGTCTCATAGCACAGATTGTCTAATTTAAAAGCGCAATTAATCCATAAAGGAGGGCCATGCCATATGTCAACTTGCAGATGAAGGGGTATTTGTATACCTGAGTCCCTGTTATGTGTGGAATTAAATGTGTGTACTCGTAATCAAAACTCATTCGAACCCACACTATGCAAGAATACACACCATCGACCTCAGGAGTCACAGTGGGTACCTGCAAGACGGTATAGCCCTTTTGCTGCGTCTTGTTCCATACCGTAGTCACACCTTCGGTTATATCATGGTCCTGATCCATCCATCGCCACCAGACATGCACATCATCCCATTCAGCTTCCCAGTTATCAGAAAACAAACAGGTCAGATTTACACTTGTTCCTTCAGGCACTAGAACGAAAGGGTTAGACACGGTAATTGTAACACCTGCATCAGTGGTACCTATTAACAGTAACAGAATTACTATTCGCACTATGAGCTTTATTGGACCGCCCGGAACACCGTTCCGGTCGGCGTGATGGATTCTGCAACCCACTGCGCGGGGACCTTCTTGACCCTCGTGTAGTGAATCCAGTTGTCGATGCCTTCGACCTTGACTGCTGTATAGGTTGTCATCAACACCTGGCGGGGACCGTCCCATGTTTCCTTCAGTGGTTCTACCGACCAATTCTTCACGTAGACCTGATCTCCTGGAGAGATGTCATGCACTGGGTTCTCCAGAGGAAAAGGCCAATTCCACTGTAAGGCTCCCCGAAGCGCTACAAGAGTCTTATTTAGAGACAAGATATAGTTAAACACAGCTTGGTCTCCCACTACATGAGGGTCACCCTGATATGTTGCAGCATGGTATGGTTTTCCGTACAAAATCTCATATGGGCTTACCCCAATTCTTTCCCTAGGTTTAATCCTAATTCTCAACAGAGCAAGAGGCAAAGCTTGGGGCCACTGAATTTTCGCTTCTTGACAAATTTTCTTTAATTGGTTTTTCAGGGTCTGATTCATCCTTTCCACCTGCCCACTAGATTGTGGTCTCCACGGGGTGTGGAGATTCCATACTATTCCTAACACTGTGGCTAAGTCCTGTACAACCCCTGCAATAAAGTGTGGCCCTCTGTCTGAAGACAATCCTAATGGTACTCCAAACCTCGGAATAATTTCTTTCAAAAGAGTCTTTACTACTTCCTTAGCCTGGTTAGTTCTACATGGAAAAGCTTCTGACCACCCTGAAAAGGTACACACATACACCAGTAAATATTTGTATGTCTGAGCCTTTGGCAATTCTGAAAAGTCTACCTGCCAGTAATCTCCTGGAAGTTGTCCAATTTGAAGTTTTCCCATTTGTACTTGTTTCCTCACTATTGGATTGTTTTTAATACATGCTGGGCATGTCGCATTCACCCTCTTAGCCAGTGTTAACATCTGATTTGAGAAAATTTTATTTCTCAGAAATTTAACCATTGCTTCTGCACCCCAATGGCACTTACCATGTTCGATTTCAAGCACCGTTTTCATTATTCTGACTGGCAGTATTACCTGTCCAGTAGAGGTAATATACCACCCTTTTACATTTTTCTTTGCTTCCATCATGCGGGCCAACTTTTCATCTTCTGGTGTGTAATGGGGTTTTTCTTCCATGTGTACTGCTACTGGATTATCACGAGTTGGTAACAAAGCCATTTGAGTCCATATCTGTGTAGCTGCTCATCGTGCCGTTTGGTCTGCCAATCTGTTTCCTTGAGATTCTGGTTCCGAATTGATTTGGTGCCCCTTCACATGCATTATGGCTACAGCTGACGGTTTGTGTATTGCCTCTAGTAGCTGAAGAATTTCCTCCCGATGTTTAATTGCTGTCCCTTGTGAAGTAAGCAACCCTCTTTCCTTCCACAATGCCCCGTGTACGTGGACTACTCCAAAAGCATACTTTGAGTCAGTCCAGATATTAACTCTCTTTTCTTGGCTCAGGATTAGGGCTCTCACTAATGCCCATATTTCAGCTTTTTGTGCTGATGTTCCCAGGGGTAATGCTTTTGCCTCCACAATCTCCTGTAGGGTTACCACCGCGTACCCTGCATACCTGGTGCCGTTTTCCACGAAGCTTGATCCATCTGTAAACAGTTCCCAGTCCGGGTTCTCCAGTGGTTCATCCTTCAAGTCCTTTCGACTGGCATAGACATGCTCGATTGTCTCCATGCAGTCATGTTCCAGGACTCCCTCTTCCTGGGCGGACCTGAGAAACTCAGCTGGATTGAGATGGTTAGTAACTTTTAATTCAATGTCATCCTGTTCCCTGAGCAGGGCCTGGTATTGTAACATTCTTCTGGAGGACAGCCAATGCCCCCCTTTCTGTTCCAGGACTGCTATGACCATATGTGGCACATAAACTGTAATATGCCTTCCCAGTATCAGTTTACGTGCTTCCTGGATCAATATCACCGTCGCCGCCACCGCTCTGAGGCACCCAGGCCAACCCCCACTTACAGTGTCCAGTTGCTTTGAAAAGTAACCAACGGGTCTCTTCCAGGATCCCAATCGTTGCGTGAGTACTCCCAGAGCCAACCATTGTCTTTCGCAGACATACAACTGGAAATCTTTTGTTATGTCAGGCAGTCCCAAAGCAGGTGCTTCCCGCAGAGCTTTCTTTAAGTCCTGGAATGCCTTTTCCTGTGCCGGTCTCCAAACTAGCTGCGGCTCCTTCACTGCTTCATACAGTGGTCTAGCGAGGAGTCCGAAATCAGGAATCCATAGTCGGCACCAGCCGACCATTCCTAGAAAATATCTCGATTCCTGATTATTCCGTGGGACCGGGATAGCACAGATGGCTTTTACCCTGTTTGCGCCTAATCGGCGAACTCCTTGGGAAATTTCGCAACCCAAGTAGATAACTTTTTGTTTAACTAGTTGGACCTTTTCCTTTGAAACCCGGTAACCTGCTTGGCCCAGCATGTTTAACAGTTCAATGGTTAGCTTGCAACACAGGTCTCGTCCTTCCGTACCCAGAAGGATGTCATCTACATATTGCAATACTATGTAGGAAAAAGGAGAGTCTTTTACCTGTGATGTCTTCCACTCTTCAAGTTCTTTTGCTAGCTGATTACCAAATATTGTAGGCGAAGATTTAAATCCCTGTGGTAGACGCGTCCAAGTAAGCTGTCTTTTCCTCCAGGTGTCGGGGTCTTCCCACTCAAAGGCGAAAAGATGCCAGCTTTCCGGTGCCAATTGTATGCAGAAGAATGCATCTTTCAAATCTATTACTGAAAACCACTGAAATTTCTCAGAAACAGATGTTAACAAGGTATATGGATTTGCAACCACCGGGTGAATGTCCTTAGTTAAAAGATTGACTGCTCTTAAATCTTGTACTAACCTGTATTTCCTGTTTGGTTTCCTGACTGGAAAAATTGGTGTATTAAATTCTGATTCACACTCTTTTAATATTCCAAGACCTACAAATTGTTTAATTAAAGGCGCTACCCCCCTTCTCGCTTCTAAACTAATTGGGTATTGTTTAATTCGCACTGGCTGTGCTCCCTCTTTAAGTTCTATCACTCCTGGAGCTGCTGCTTTAGATAATCCCGGGACCCCGGTCTCCCACACCCAAGGGACAACTGCATGTTCTATTTCCTGAGGAATTGCTTCTGTTTCTATTTCATTTACAGTAAATATTTGTGCCACATTTTCTTCCGGGATTTCTAGTTTGACCCTTCCTTTTTCAAACACAATAGTAGCTTGTAAGAAGGACAATAAATCTCTCCCTAGCAAACACTCTGGGCTATTAGGCATATAAAGAAATTGGTGATCCAATTGTTTCCCTCTAAATTTGATATCCAGTGGCCTCAAGAATGCTCATTCCTCTGTTTACCCCGATACACCCACAACACGGACAGTTGAATTACTTAAAGGACCCATTAACCGATTCATTGCTGAAAAACTAGCTCCCGTATCTACGCGAAATTCCATAGGTTCTCCTTCTATTTCCAGGACAACCTTTAGGTCCCGGTCTAGTCAGCTGTGATTTTGATAGTTTTGCAACATAAATGCTTGAGCGACACCTTGTGGCGTCCCATTACCCGCACCCTGCATGTTCCCGACAAACGGATTCATTCCTACCCCCGCATTCATGGGGCACTCATTTTTCCAATGTCCCTGACCCTTGCATAATGCACACTGATTTAACCCTATCTTTCCACGTCCACCCTGGAATCCAAATCCACTCTGGTTATTAAAACCTTTCCCAACTCCTCTGCCTCTGTTTCCACGTCCTCTCCCCCTATTTCCTCTGTTATAGTTTCCTCCAGCCGCCTGCAAAATTGCTAACATACTCGCTTGCTGCTTCTTTGTTTGCTCCTTTTCACGATTATTGTACACCTTCCAAGCCACTTCCAACAATTTTTCTAAATTCCGCGTCTCCTCGCCTTCTAATTTCTGCAACTTCTTTCTAATATCTTCCTGGGACTGTCCCATGAAAATCAAAGCCAACTGTAACTTCCCTGACTCTGCCTCTACATCCAAGTCCGTATATTTTCGAACTGTCTCCTTCAGTCTTTCTAGGAAAGCAGAGGGAGACTCTCCCTTATCCTGCCGCACAGAATATAGCTTAGACCAGTTTAAAGTCTTTGGGATTCCGCTCCGTATTCCTTCTACCAACAAATCTTGATAAACTTTTAACCTATGATAGTCGCCTGCTGCATTTGGATTCCATTCGGGGTCCTCCCGAGGTACTAAATCATTCACTGTCCCCTGGCCAGGCTGCGCGCGAATCTTTTCTCTAGCTCTCTCAACCATTACTCGCAATACCATCTCTTTTTCAGTAGAATCTAGGATTGTATTCAATAAAACTTGCAAATCATTCCAGTCTGGATTCTGAGTTTTTATAACCATTTTAACAACACGTGCCACACGCTCAGGATTTTCTCTATATGCCCCTGCTGATTGCTTCCAAATTATTAAATCATTTGGCGAAAAAGGTACTTTTACCATGACCCGCGCTCCTCCTGCCCCAACTGCCTCTCACAGAGGGACCATCAATTTCGAGGGCGAGGGCGACACAGCCCTCCCCTCGCTTCCATGTCTCCGCTCCCGACTCCTTCCCTGTTCTTTCCTTCCCCTACGAGTCCGTCCCACTAGCGGAGTCCTATCAATGTGCTCCTTTTCCTCCTCATCTGAGGATGATGGGGGCATAGGTGGGGACGAATCTCGCCTACGTGAGGGGGCTGCTCTCAATGGGGGCGCGGTAGGGGTGGGGGCTGCTCTCAGTGGGGGCGCGGTAGGGGTAAGGCTCGGAGAGACTAACAAAGCAACATCTTCCTCCGGTTCAGCAAACCGTGCCTTTCGCTCTTTACACCCCGCACATTCGTCATTCGATGCTTTTAACACCAACACACCACAATCATTCTGCCACTCAGGTTTACGTCTCAGATAATAAAATAAATCTAAATATGGTATTTCGTCCCATTTCTCATTGTCTTTTAAATATTGCAGTAAAGGAGACATTATCTCTAGTGTCATAGTGCCGTTTCTTGGCCACTGCATCCCTTCAGTATCATACTGGGGCCACACAATATTGCAATAGTCAATTAGCTGCTTTTTACTTAGTTCTTGCCCAAAGTTCCCCTCCTTCCAGTGCTTTAGTATGCGACCGAGTGGAGAATCATCAGGAATATTAGTTTCAGTACAAGACAATGCTCTAAAGGTTTTAAAAGGCATCATACCCACAATAACACAACACACTCACACAAACGACAGATATCACAAGTAATAAAAATGCCACAAACGGTTAAATACCACGAGCAGTTACGTAACTTGTTTCCACAACCAATTTGCCGAATTTCACTGTACGGCAAATGCTGGCTCAGCACAGCTTTCGCCGCGTCTTACGACCAGCGCCTAGGCTTCCCCGAAATACCTCTCTCAGCCCAACCCAGTGAGTATACACAAACCCGTCTTATAGGCAGGCTATAATTACTAAGAAATAAAGCACCTTCGGGCTTACCTGAAATGGTTGTCCGACGGGCGTGGGGTCGGGCACGGAATGATGTCTCCCCAGGAAATCACCTGGCTGCTGGCATGGAGCGGATCGCTCGTACGCGGCCCCGGCGACCCCCGGAGTCCCATCTGGGTCGCCAAGAAGACTGTTGCCCGCCACAGTAAAGGAACACAAACCAACAGAGTGTTAGTTTATGCCGGTGCTTTATTTGGGCCCAGGGACCTGTGGACTAACGTCCCAAAGTCAGAATCCCGAAAGACCCTCATTTTGAGTACAGCTTTTATATGCTCAAACAAACAAAGTCATTTGCTTAGTAACCACATCAAAGTACATACTGAAACTTAATATTTCATCCAAATCACAATTAGCTATTAGCTAGCCCACCATAAATCATCCCCAGTTGCCTAACTCTAAAACCCATTTAACTAACTCCCACAATCCAGGTGCAAGTTATCAGTAGATTAGAAAACTATGTTCTCTATGCTTCAGTTATTCTTTTGATTATTGTTTCTTCTTAGTCTTGCATGGCTAGCACATTCCAATCTTTATCAGTCCA